TCCTCCTTGTAAATAAAAATAGACAATTTTTCAGTTGAAAACAAAACTGTGTTGGTTATCGTGTTACTCAAGGTAACTGTAATAAATGAATTGAGATGCCAATTAGCCAACTAAATTTAAGAGGATTACAAAATGTGGACACCAAAATCTGTATCTATCACCAGTCGTCCCTTTAAATGGTCATTGGTTTGTGGCACATAAATAAATACTGACACTTTTAAGTAAAATTTAAACCACAACTATATTAACGTAGATAACAAACAAGCAAGAAAGGTTAAAAGATGCACACAAAAGAAATATGTAACATAGTCTAGACGCAGGGGACGATTGTAGTGTTGTTGGCAACCTCAATCCTTTGGTCTTTCCAGGCCTCGGGAGAGGAACAGCCAGGAGATCCCTCGACGGAAGACGATGGCGAAGCTGGCAATCTCAATCCTTTGGTCCTTCCGGGCCTCGAGAGAGGAACAGCCAGGAGATCCTTCAGAGACGACTGGAATCGGGTACGCTGACTCGAGCCTTCTGCACAAACCACGAATCCTCTTCCTGTTCTTTGGGACAGCTCGGACAGGCGATGGTGGCCTAAACCCTAGCCTAAACTCAAAAGAAAAACCCTAACTACGTCCGAGGCACCCGACGAACATTCACAATGACGGCTGATGTGCTTGGAACTGACGCTTTACAATTGGGAGGAGATAAGGAGAGGAGGGGGAAAAGGGGGGGGGAGGGAGTCGTATGGGGAGACTCAGGCGACCCTACTATGGGGCTTGTGTGAACATGTCCGTCAGGGCCTCTCTGATGTGCACCCCATCCTGGTGTGCCTGGCGGATGGCAGCTGTGTGCGGCTGTTTGAACGTCTGTGCCTCGGCTGCCATCCATGCAGGGAGGAAGGCCTCCCCACTCCGCTCCACAATGTTGTGGAGCACGCAGCACGTGGCCACTACCTCCGTTGCATTCCGCTTACCTAGCTCGAGACGAGCAAACAACGGAAGTGGGCTTTTAAGTGGCCGAAGGCGAGCTCCACCTGATTTCAGGCCCAGTTGAGGCAGTCATTGAACCGGGCCCGGTTCTGGTCCAGCTGCCCCTTGTAGGGCTGCATTAGCCAGGGCAGCAGTGGGTAGGCTGCGTCCCTGATGACGCAGATGGGCATAGGCACATCCCCGATAGTCAAGTCCCGCCGCGGGAAGTCGG